AAGGGAAGGGAAGGGAAGGGAAGGGAAGGGAAGGGAAGGGAAGGGAAAGGAGAGAATAGATAGCAAATAGCTCCTACATATTTAACTGTAACTGGAATTTTAAGTATCATTCTAAAAGTTCACAGATTCACATTTATGAGCATTTTAATTGAACAACACACCACAAAAGTCGTTTCATTATATAATAACTTTTTAAAGGTGCTAAAATGTGGCAAAATGGGGGATACTATTCAGCTATTTTTACTAATTCCAGATATATTTTGTTTCATTAGACCTCTTTATTAGAGGCTTAATTTTGTTGTTAAAGCACAAATCCATTATTGGGATTTGTTTGGGGTCAGTGAGAATCATTTACTGATAGAATATTTCTATTTTAAGTATTGATAATGCGAGATATCCTCACTTGGTGCCTCAGAATGCCCCCAATACCAAGATCTGTGGGCTATCTCGTTTCTAGGCAGATAATACTGAGGTATGCCTCACAAGCGAACCATTGAGAGTGCTGATCCAGAAAAGCTGTGATTTCTTCGGACATGTTCCTGGGAGACTGCTGTATATAATATATAAGTACAGATGTACTCACAGAAGAAATTTAGAATGGCTCAACAGACTTAAGCCAAGAAATCTATTGAATCAAACAGACAGGAAAGAAAAAAAATTACACAATCATATAAAATTATCTTACAAGAACCAGTAACATTCCTATATTCCAGTATCAAATATTTTGAGAAAGAAATAGAGCTATTATCATTCCCAATAGCCTCAAAAATTAAACCTCGTAATAAATCTCACCAAGTAGGCAAAAACTTCCATGATTAAAAAATTAAATACTAGAAGAACAAAAATGAAGATAAGCACCATAAGATGGAAACATTGTTCATCATCAAAGAATCATTTTAGATTAATTTTGTAAAAATACCATCCTAACAAATAGAATTCACAGAGTCAATACAACCATAATCAAAAGGAGGAGCTGGGAAAAAAGAAACTCAGGTCAGAAATATTTACGATTTTAAAATTTTAAAAATCCAGTTATATTTCTCAAAAAATTCGCAAGAAAAGACTTAATAGAAAGACAAAGTACACCAACCAGATGGCAATTTTGAACACTCTCAGCAAAACCAAAAGGAAGAAAAATACTATTATTACTAGTATTACCACTAACAGCAACAATACTAATGATGGTGCTGATGCTGTAGGAATTACTATACTTAATCTCAAACTATACTAAAGTCTTACTAATAAAAAAAATGAGACTATCACTAAAGCAGACATGTAGCTCAACTGAACTTAAAATAAGTCTCAAATGAACATTCATGTAACTATAGCTGCTTATTATTCAACAAAGATGTTTTGTGTAAAGGGGGAAAATTAGTGCAGAAATTCAAAAATGGCTTAATTTCAGAGAATGAGTAGTTGGTGGATAGTTTTGAAAGACGTTGCATACAGGAACCTCACTAAACTAAAAAGTTTCTGTAAGGCAAATGACACCTTTGATAAAACTAAAAGGCCTTCAGAATGAGAGAAGATTTTCACTAATGTCATTTCTGTTAGAAGGCTAATATTTACATATGAAATGAACTCAAGAAACTAAATATCAACCAAAACAAATAATCCATTTAAAAATGGGGTTCAGATCTAAACAGAGAATTCTCAATAGAGGAATCTCAAAAGGCTGAGAAACACTTAAAGAAATTTCAGCATCCTAAACCATCAGAGAAATCAAAATTGCTTTGAGATTCCATCTTACACCTGCCAGAACAGCTTAGATCAATAACACAATTGACAGTTCATGCTGGTGAGAAGGTGGACCAAGGGGAATACTTCTCCATTGCTAGTGGGAGTGAAAACTTGCACAACTACTATGGAAATCAATATGGAAGTTCCTCAGAAAATTGGGAATCAACCTACCACAGATTCAGTTATAGCACTCTTGGGCATATGTCCAAAGGACCCTCCATCCTACCTCATGGCCACTTGCTAAACTATGCTCACAGTGGTTTACTCATAACAGTCAGGAACTGAAAACAACCTAGATGCCCCTCAACTGAAGTCTGGACAATAAAATATGATGCATTTACACAATGAAGTATTAAAAGCAATGACATCATGAAATTTGCAGGCAAATGGACAGAACAGCAAAAAATTTCATCTTGACCAAGGTAACCCAGATACAGAAAGACAAACATAATATGTACTCACTTATAAGGGAATATTAGCTGTTAAATAAATGATAATCATGCTAAAATCCACAGACCCAGAGAGGCTAAGTAACAAGGAGAGCTCTATGGGGGATGCACGGCTCTCCCTGGGAAGGGGAAATAAAATAGATTTTGAAAGTGAACAGGGGCATGTGGGAATGGGAACAGGAAGGACTGGGTGCAGGGAGAGATGAAGTGAGAGAGTATAGGGATAAGGGACTGGAACTGAAGTGCATTGGGAAGGACAATGTGGAAACCTAGCATTGTACAGGATTCTATGACTCTACTGAGGGTTCCAAGTAATGGAGAATATGGAGCCTGAATTGGCCATCTTAAATAGTCAAAGAGGGGAACTAGTGTTGTAACTGGGACACCAACCCAGCCACAAAAATTTTGATTTACATCCTTTCCTGCCTGCAAGATTTACTGGGGCAATGGTGGCTTGGAGATTGTAGGCATGGCAAACCAATGATTGGTCTAACTTGAGGCCCATGCCCTAAGAGGAGGCCCATGCAGGATACTGCCTGGAACCATTCTTATTTATAACACCACATCTTCTCTTTGGAGTTTGCAAGCATCATTAGTATTACTCATTTATCTTACCAACCTCCCATAATCCTTCCCAGTTAAGTATTCCCTAATGGTTCTCATTTCCTACTTCAGAACACATATGTTCTCCTCTCCACCTTCTACTATAGAAATCACTTTGTCCTCCCCTCCTACAACTGTCCTGTCTCCTTCTCTGACTACTGAGGCCAGGTGTGGGTCATTTGTCATTGCATGAAGACTCAGAGAGGCCATAGTGTAAAGCTCTGAAATGTGAAAATGTAGCCTGGAGTTGATGGGAGCCCCCATGATGTTGGGGACGCCAGAATCATGGGGTACCTGTCAAGAGGAGCTTATAATGGGGTGTGGAATCAGCTCAAGAGAGATAAATGTGTTGCAGTCAACCAACAAAAAGGAGCTGGATATCTGGAGAGCCTTTGCCATCACACTTGGAAATGCAGAAATTGTTTGTCCGGCTGCTTTTCATTCTTACTTTGGTCGGGTATTTCCTCACTATGCTGTCTTTCCTCCCTTTCGGAATGATAATATGTATTCTGTGCCATTGTATATTGAAAGAATGTGATCTGGTTTTTTTGAGTTTCATTTTATAGTCGGTTCGAGTTAAGAGATTGCCTTAAGTCTCATAAGAGACTTTGAACTTTGGAATTTTAAACAGCATTGAATCTGTCACAGGCTACAGAGACTTTGAAGTTGGACTGAATGCATTGTTGTATTACATTATGACTACAAGCCAACGTGGCAGGGAGTGGAAAGTGAAAGTTTGAATAGACATGCCCCATATAGATTCATAGGGAGTGGCACTATTAGGAGGAGTGGCCTTGTTGGAGGATGAGTACAACTGGATTTGATTTTGAGGTTTCAGAAGCTCAAGCCAGTCCCACTTTTTGCCTGTCCCTGCTGACTGAAGAACTGAATATAGAACTAATCTCAGCTACTTTTCCTTTAACATGACTGTCTTTATGCCACCATGCCTCCCACCATGACAACAGACTAAAACTCTGAAACTGTAAGCAAGCACCAATTAACTCTTTTTTAATAAGAGTTGCTGTGGTTATGGTGCCTCTTCACAGCAGTAGAACACTGATTAAAAATACTTCATACATGAAGAATATATATATATATATATACATATATATATATATATATGGAATTACCCTGCAATAGCAACACCCCAGAGAAGCTATAGACTATCAAACAAAATGCCCAGACATGGTATACCTCTCTTTGCATTATTGTTCAGGAAGTTCCAAGAGACTTCATGTCGTTTTGTATGTTAAATATTGCATATATCATATATCTTTATACATAGATAGTAGAGCATTAATATTCCTTAAATATGAAAATTGAATAAAACGATTTAACTGCATTCCCCAAGAAATAGTTGAAAACTGTCAATGAACAACCAAGTTAACATTACAAGAAATGTACACATAACATTCAAGTAAAATGACATTTACTATAACTAAACAATGCAAGTATTCAAAAAGGAAATAAACAATGAACTATAATCACAAACATGATATGACTATATGGTATACTAACAAATTGGCATTTATTATAAATGAACAGTGTGATTATATAAGACTATATGCTATACTATAACAAAATCATAGTAACTCAAGGACTAGACAGAGAGATGTTGTAAGATTATTGCTAACCAAAATGAAGAAAAGAATAAACACACTGTTACCAGTCTTCATGCTAGAATTAAAAAAGGAATAAGAAATGCCGAAATAACTTCACTGATAAAATCAGACTAAAACTCAAAATATTACATATTGTGGAAAAAGAAAATAAACCAAAATCAAAGAGGATTGTAGAAATAGTTCAGAAAGAATGAATGACTAATTAAATGCCCCAATTAAATGATTTCCTATACAAGAGTTGTTATGGTCATTGTGTCTCTTCACAGCAATAGAATCCTAAGTAAGACAGTATGTCATATTTTTGCTACTCAGGCTAAGTGTAATTGACTTATGACTCTTTTGCTCCACAAAATAAATTCACTAGGAAGAGGGCTAAAGAAGATGTGCATGGTTTTATTTCTGCATAATAAAATTCTCTCAGAAAGAACTAGCAGTGACCACTGTAAGCAGCAAGCCAGGTAACCACATTCTCCTACAGCAATACACCTTGTTCCAGTTGGGAATCATATGTGTTGCTTTTTTATTGTTTTTATTTTAATCAGTCAGTCTCATGAACTGTGTCAACAGGCTGTATGTCTATGCATCAGTCCACGAGTACTACCCAGACTTCTGTAATTAAACAGAGGACTTCCGTTCTTCCTTCCCTGAAGTTGATATTTGTAAAAAGCTTCACCTGGCAGTACTGTACAACACACACTCTCCATCCTTGCTCCCTCTTCTTTCTCGTCTGCTAGCTTCTTCCCTGTTGCTCTCTATACAGGGATTAAACCTGGAGACTGAGCATGCTAAGAAACTTCTCAACCCCTATTTTCTTTCTGTTAAATTATTCAGTATTCATAAGGCTGATAAAGTTCAGAATTTACTGTTTGTTCTTACAGAACTTACCATATCCACGAATACGTTTTGTGGTGTTATTTCGAGTACCAGTTTCCAAGGCTCCTCAATATCACCTGGAAGAGGGGTATAAACATAATAAGCTACAAGGACCACAGAGATGAGAAGCAGAGTGGTTCTCCCCATGTTTCTCTCTGCTTTTTCTACTTTGGCCGTGCAGCAAATGAAGCTGTTTTCAATTTTTTAAAGGTTGAATTTTAACCTGCCGTAAAGTGTTATCTAACTTATTAAGTACAAATTCCACTGCACAATTGGTTCTTGCATGAGCACTCCAAACCCCGTTTTTCGTATCATAATTCCCCCACAAAGAGTTTTTAGAACAGAATTTCTCTCTCCAAGTTACTGCCCATCTAGGAGCCAGATCCTGTTTCTATGCCAGTTTGTAAAGAAACGAAACCATGAGAAAAATCATGCCTTCGGACTCTGTTCTGTGTATAAAGGGTATTGAAACAAACAGGAAACCTTGTGTGTGAATCAATTGTAAACTAAGAGAAAACTAAAGGCTCCTTTAAAGCAATGCAAACTTTGAAAAGGAAGTTTTTTCCTCTTTATTCCCTCTGTGCCTTACTATGTCCCCTGCTGAGAAACTTCAGCAGGTTTTTTTTTCAAATGAGTATTCAATTACAGTGCTTAGGATATTCCTTTTTATTTGTGTTACTTGTTTTATTTTGAGATTATGACAAAATTACATCACCCACCCCCCTCCAGCTTACAGCTCAGTTGATTCCAGTCTAGACAATTCACTTGTAAAACCTGTTTCTCTTTATTTTATCTTTGACTGTCTTGGTAGTTAAAGGGCCACCTTCCTAGCTCCAGTCTAGTATTCTCATCTAAATTCTGATGTCTCTGTCAGTCTGTTAAGCTTATAGCTGTCAGCAGCAAACCCAAACCACAGCAAAGTCACTTTCTGTTCTAAGTCCCATTTGCTTGGAAAGTAAATGACTCAAACATTGAATGATTAAATCGTTTTATTGAGTTTGGAGCATATTCCACACCAAATTTAAACAGTGGACTTTATTTTCTCTAGGAAGTTCATCCCATCACTTTGTCTTCCTATCAGCATGGGAACAGAAAAAAGAATATTGCCAGACCACTTCATACAGAGTGAACAGAGCTATGTATTTCTTTTTCTTTTTTTTTAAGATTTATTTATTTATTTATTTATTTACTTATTATGTATACAGTGTTCTGTCTGTCTAATTGCTTGCTGGCCAGAAGAGGACACCAGATCTCATTACAGATGGTTGTGAGCTACCATGTGGTTGCTGGGAATTGAACTCAGGACCTCTGGAAGAGCAGTCAGTGCTCTTAACCTCTGACCCATCTCTCCAGCCCAGAGCTACGTATTTCTAAAGCTAGTATTTTATGTTAAATCCTCTGCTTCATGGGAATTTACCCTCCAACACTATGAAATCAAATGAAAGTGGGAACCCTGATCCAGTTTTGTCTTTTATCGTGCCATGGCTACTGTGCATATGCAGTGAGTGTTTTTCCTCACAAGAGACAGGATTACTGGATCTGGAAGGCTTTGAAGAAGAGGTCAGTGAAGGGAAACTGAACAAAGAGGCCGTGAATTTGAAGGAGAGGATGGAGGGTGTACGGGAGGGTTGGAGGAGGGAAGGTATGTGAGATGGTGTGACTATGTTAAAATCTCAACAAATGAAAAACAAATAGAATTCTGCATCTGGAACTTCATCTGAACAATTTTTTGTTGTTGTTTTATTTGTATTTTTATTTTAAGATTCAGCAATATTCAATTTATTAATACTTTCTATCTTAATGCAAATTAATGAACACATATATACTTATAATTTATGCATTAATTAGTCCCTTCTTATCCTTTTGAGACATGATACAAGTTCTTAATGGACGATACTGAAAACAAAAGAGAACACTGAACCATTTACATCTCTCTGAGACTTAACATACAATAGTTTCCTAATAAATTTGTAGGAAATTTAAAAAAAAAAAACAACTTTTAAGTGTAAGCATCCGAAGTCTGGCATCTGTTTACGTCCTAATCACATGCCTATGACAAGGACCAACTTATCAATTAGGCATAATGAGAAATTAACCAAAGCAACTAATTTTAAAAATGAAATAATTGTACACTTTTAATTTTTGGATCATTTAAAACTTAAATGTACCTTCTTTCTGAAATGGTACATTTAACATACCATAGACATTTTAATATTCCTTTTTATTACTTTATAAATAATACCAATCAAAGTTTTCACTTTTTCCCTCCTTCTACTTCCCTCCTGCTCACCCACTAAACCTCTCTCCTTCCAGTCCTAAGAGAGGGCAGGGTACCCTGCACTGTGGGAAGTCCAATGTGCTCTCCCCTCCTCCATCCAGGCTTAGGAAGGTATGCGTCCAAATGGAATAGGATCCCAAAAAGCCAGTGCATGCAGTAGAAACAAATCCCAGTGCCATGATCATTGGCTTCTCAGTCAGCCCCCATTGTCAGCCACATTCAGAGGGTACAGTTTGATCCCATGCTTGTTCAGTCCCCAATCCAGCTTGATTTGGTGAGCTCCCATTAGCTCAAGCACTCTGTCCCAGTAGGTGGACCAACTCCTCATCATTCAGACTTCCTTACCCATCTTCTCCCTCCTTCTGCTCTTCAACTGGACCTTGGGAGCATGGTCATAATTTGAATGAATAGATGAGTCAATAGAATTGATTTGGTGATTTGTTTTGTTTTGTTTTGTTTTGTTTTAGACAAGGCTTTGGAGCCTATCTTAGAACTAGCTCTTGTAGACCAGGCTGGCCTCGAACTCACAGAGATATGGCTGCCTCTCCCTCCCGCGTGCTGGGATTAAAGGCATACACTACCACTGCCTGGCTTGATTTGGTGATTTTGAGGATACAAATTATCTTTGTTTTTCATGCCATATGAGTCTTTGGTTTTGATCACTGATTAAGAATGATTTTCCTTTTATTCTTTTACTTTAAATTGTCTTTCTTCTTACAATTGACAGGTTTGAAATGTTCAGGAAAGACTAAGCTATAACAAGTTGTGATGTGTTTGCCTGTTGGATTGGAGTACTATCTGAAGTCTTCACTTACCAGAAGATACCAGACTCACATGTAGGACCTAAAGTCAACACCAAACTGATCAGGAATTTGTCTTTCTCCTGGCTAACTTTTATCATGCTAGGAGGGCCTACAAAGAGGTCAAGGGTAGAAAAGGGCCTTAGTGCTTTTATACAGCACTGGATGAGTATGATGTAACACCAATCTCTCAAGAAAGCTTGAGCTTCCTGGTGAGATAGCTCAAGTTTATGAGTAACTAATCCCTTTCTGGTTAGATTTGAGTCTTTCTCCACAGGAGTGGATTTCATACACGGTACTCTTAAACCTGGTCAAAAGCCTGTGGCTTTGAAAGCCAGAGGCCTTAGGGTAGAGCGCACTGTTTTTCTGAATGGTTATGCTGTCAAATTGTTATGACAATTAAATTGTCAAATTGTTAAATGGTTATGCCTTCACATATTTATAATTATAAAAATAGACTTGGGCCTCTCTACCTTGGTCAAATCAGATTGTTTTTTTCGTTTTCAGTAGACAGCAGCCAGTAGAGAAACCCATAATTATTAAAGTATTGAGATTAAGAAACTCAAATCTAAACTTTAAATAGGACAAAATGGCTCTGGAAACATCATGAACGAAGAGGCACAAAGAACGTTATATGTGGGGAATAGAGAGCAGTGCTGTGAATGCTGTCACCTAGACATGACAATGCTACCTCAAGCATGATCTCATAGCACCTATGGTTCTATACACAAGGCTTAGAGAAGATCAAGCCAGACAAAATCCAAGCATAAGTGAGGAAAACAGTATCAAAGTTCCACCTTTTCTGAGCAACTATTAGCAGTAGATAGTGGCTGGAATGAAGAGAAACATTCTTTATTTAAGAAGTTTATATCGCAACTAAGAGAGCCATTCTAGGGTTTGCAAGAGACTTGATTCTGGAGGGGTTCCCAGTAAAAATTAAATAAAAATAAATAAATAAATAAATAAATAAATAAATAAATAAATAAAAAGAAAAATAAAAAAAAGAAAAAGAAAACGCTTTACTGAGTCAGGTAAGCCAGACCCAAAAAGAGGAATAAGGTATGTATTCACTCATAAGTGGATTCTAGCCATAATTAAAGGTCTTTGAGCCTATTATTCGTGATCCTAGAGAAGCTAAAGAAGGTGAACCTGAAGAAAATTCAGGTAGTTTTCCTCCTGGAGATTGGAAATAGACAAGAGTTCCAGGTAACCACGGGTGCATGGGGGATTGGGAGGGTAGTTGGAAGGGGAGGAGGTTAGAGAGAAGGGAGCAGG